ATATATATATATATATATATATATATATATATATATATTTATTTATTTATTTATTTATTTATTTATATTTGTATATATATGCAGCAATGAGCATTGATTTGTTGGTGCATCTCATCTGCGGTGTATATGCAGCACCGACCGCGGAGCCTAACCTCCGTTTGTATTTTTTTTTTATTTTTTTTGTTTTTTTTTTCTTTTTATTGTTTTATTTTATTTATAGATTAAAAAACATTATGGATTTGCTGCTGATGGGTCGCTAGATAAAAACAAATCACTGCTGAGGCTGATCTCTGTTCACGTTGGTAAGCAGAAGAGCTGCCTATACACCTGAAACGGACGACTCATATTTTTTTTTAATTTTTTTTTATTTTATTTTAATTTAATTTTATTTTAGTTTTATTTTAATTTAATTTTATTTTATTTTATTTGTTTATTCTTTTTTTTTACTTTTATTTTTTTTTTATAATGTCTGCTATCTTTTTTAGATAAAATTAATGTATCTTTTTATATATTTCGTTTATATATTATGATTGTGATGAGCGCCAATACAAGTGAATATGAATGCTAATATAAATATAAATATAAATATAAATATAAATATAAATATAAATACAAACATAAATATAAATACAAATATACACATAAATATAAACATAAATATAAATACAAATATAAACATAAATATAAACAAAAACATAAACATAAATATAAATATAAATATAAACAAAAACATAAACATAAATATAAATATAAACAAAAACATAAACATAAGTATAAATATAAATATAAATAAATATATTTATATATATAAATACAAATACTGCTTGAAACTGAATTTCAGGGCGGCCTCTGGATACTACAGAGTTGGGTTTACTGAAGCGAGCGGCGCAGAAGCCGTTGGCGGTGTTGTTAGAGCAGACAGCATCTCTCGTGTATCTGCTGCTGCTGCTGCATCGTGCTGCAGTTTGTGCTGCTGCAGGCGGCAGCACTGAACAGCAGCAGCAGCAGCAGCAGCAGCAACAGCAGCAGCAGCAGCAGCAGCAGGATGCAGACCCAACAAAGGCTCTGGCGGCGCGTTTGCTGCTGTGTTGTTACGGCTCAAGCAGCAGCAGCAGCAGCAGCACCACCACCACCACCACCACCACCACCAGCAACAGCAGCAGCAGCAGCAACAGCAGCAGCAGCATGCATGTAGCATCATCATCCTCATCAATAGAATCTAACTCAAAA